TTTTTTTAAAAAAAGATTATATATATATATATATATATATATATATATATATATATATATATATATTTTTTTTTTTACAGAGAGGAAGGGAGAGGGATAGAGAGCTAGAAACAGCAATGAGAGAGAAACATCAATCAGCTGCCTCCTGCACACCCCCCACCAGGGATGCGCCCACAACCAAGGTACATGCCCTTGACCAGAATCAAACCTGGGACCTTTCAGTCCGCAGGCCAACGCTCTATCCACTGAGCAAAACCGGTTTCGGCCAAAAGTTAATTCTTACCTTCAACAAATCAGTCTATTGTCATTTTGCATCTAGACCAGTGGTTGGCAAACTGCAGCTGGCAGGCCACATGCGGCTCTTTGGCCCCTTGCCTGTGGCTCTTCCACAAACCACCACGGCCTGGGCAAGTCTATTTTGAAGAAGTGGCGTTAGAAGAAGTTTAAGTTTAAAAAAGTTGGCTCTCAAAAGAAATTTCAATCATAGTACTGTTGATATTTGGCTCTGTGGACTAATGAGTTCGCAGACCAGTGATCTAGTATAACCCACCTTTGGAATGTCAGAGTAATTCCCCCCACAGGCAGCGACCACAAATCCCATTATTGTCTTTTTTATGGTGTTAATTGCTAACTATCCTGTAGTCACAAATTTCAAAGAAGTACATGTCTACTTCTTTTACTTTATATCCAATCCCAGAGGTTTCCCTGCTTTGCTTTCTCCCACCTCCCTAATCTATCGCCAATGAATTTCATGTCACCACCTCACATCTTCCCCTTTGATTCTGGATGAATAAAAAAATGGTATAACCATCGTTTTTCCCCCCAGAGCGTTTTCCTCAATGTGTTCAGATATTGCTTCCTGGCAATTCTCAGTTTGGTTCAAGATAAACATAAAAACTCTGTGCATGTTCGAAAGCTTCTTAGTTGACAGCACACATCCTCACACATCAATACAACTGGGTGCCACTCGGCAATCACCAGGGAAGCTGTTGTCAAATGGCTGGGTTTCAAGGGCATAATGCTCAATGGAAGAAAGAGCCCATTTCACTTTTTTTTTTCTTTTTTAAAAGAGGAAGGGAAAGAGATAGAAACATCAATGATGAGAGAGAATAACCAATTGGCTTCCTCCTGCACGCCCAGTACTGGGGATCGAGCCCACAACCTGGGCATGTGCCCTGACTGGAATCGAACCAGCAACCTTCTGAGCCACACCGGCAGAGTTGAAGAGCCCATTTCGAAAGTTACATATTATATGATTCTATTTCTCTCAGTATTCCCCAAATGGCAAAGCCAGAGATGGATAACAAATTAGTGATTGCTCCAGAGCATGGGCGAGGCGGGTAAACGGGACTACAGAGGGGCAGCATAAGGCGTTTCTCAATGATGGTGGAAGTGTTTCTACATAGTGGTGGTGGTTACATGGGGATACAGGGCGCAAGATTGCCTGGGGCTCTCCACACAATGGCCGAATGAGGGCATGCAAAACCGTGAGGGCTGAATAGGGCCTTTAGTCCAGTTGATAGTAATTTGCCAATGTCAATTACTGGTTTTGATATTATAACAATATAGGATGTCTCCATTAGGTGAAACTGGGCTTAGGGATTGTATTTTATATTAATGTCGTAAAAAAAGAAAAGAAAAGATAAACCTGTACCAATTTTTAAAAATTTATTTTATTTTATTTTTTTTTTGGCAGTTGCTATATTGCTTAGGATTCTTTGACTTAACAAATCAATGTGTAGTGTGTTTTTCATATAAACAACAGAGGGTGTTTTTGCTTTTTGTTTGCTTTTCTTCTGGCTGTTCTAGTGGTGACATATCCATTTGGCTTAGATTTAGTTCATTTCTTGTGGAGGGACCTCAACTGAATGACCACTGGAGTCCAGACCAAATTAAAATTTAGGGAGCCTTTATTAGCCGGCTGGTGACTGCTTGGCCTTTCTCCACGCAGGTAGCCCAGAGAGCAGCCCCGGCCCTTTATGCAAGACCACTTTATATATATATATATAATTGATTTTTTTTTCACAGAGAGGAAGGGAGAGGGATAGAGAGCTAGAAACATCAATGAGAGAAACATCGATTCAGCTGCCTCCTGCACACCTCCCACTGAGGATGTGCTTGCAATCTAGGCACATGCCCCTGACTGGAATCGAACCTGGGACCCTTCAGTCCACAGGCCGATGCTCTATCCACTGAGACACACTGGTTATGGCTGCAAGACCACTTTTTAAGCACATTAACTACATCCTGTTTTTGCAGAGTAAGCAACCCAAGACAAAACAGTTTTTCCCAAATTAAGTCAGGGCCATGCTGTTGATGATCATGTTATTTACAGGGTCATCCCGTTCTTTAGAAAGCTGACGGGGTTCTACCTTGCAAGACTATTTTGTGAGGTGCAAGGGGAAGGCCTTGAGAAGGCCTGGCCTGCTGTCTGCACTGACAATCCTATCTGGGGCATAGTTCACGGCCTTTCCCGGGTGCTGAAAAATCTCCACTGACACATTTATGTAGGTAAGTCATTTTGGAGATATTGCTTCTCCGACCTCTAAAGTAAACAAAGTTTCAAGGTTTGATATTTGTAATGTCAAGTCTTCTGGTGGGTATTTGACTGAGTTGATCCATGCTGTTTAGGACAGTGTGCTTGGGACACCCTAACTCTATGATGTTATAGGACAACAAATGCAGTTGTTGCTCAAGCAAAATACCAGATTCCAAACCTAGATTTAACACCTGATCTAACTGCAGTTTCAACCTCTCTTTAAAACATAATTTTAATCAACCAGTGGGGAATTTTCGGTTGAAGCACCAGTAAGGGAATCACTCATGTGGGCCTTCTCCACCCGCTCAGAGCAGTGGTTCCCAAAGTGTGTGTATGTGGGGGGCATTGAAGAATGAGCTATTAAGTGATTTTTTTGCATTTTTATGGTTCTAGGAGCCTCATATATATTATATAAATATATATTCTGACATATTTATGAATTTCAGCTGTTTCAAAAATTTATTTGCTATTTTTAATATCACTTTATATTATTTTTAAAAACAATTTCTTTGTGATTTCTTCCTCATTATTTCAAACTCTCCTTTCGTTCTTTTTTTTTCTTTTTTTTTTTTTTTCCTTTTTCTCTTTCATGGATGCCATGTTCTTTGGAAGCTGGTTTAGACCAAGTCCATGGCCTTTTAGGCTTCCTCCACGTGAATAGTTCACTTTTCGAATAACAAAAATATGTGTGTGGAGGGTGTGTGGAGACGAGGGCATTAGGATTTTAGAGAAGCTTAAGTAGGGTGTGGCCAAGGAAAGGTTGGGAGCCTCTGTCTTTGAGGGAGGAGCAATCTGCATGATAAAAGTCCTCTCACTCTCTTCCCCCAAACAAAAGATGCCTGGGCCCAAGGTGAATCCTTTCTTTTCTTTTGTTAATAGCTCTCTTGCCCGGTCCTTGTTCCTATAAAAAGTTTTCTTTTGGTAGCAGCCTGCTGGAAACCGATCATTGTTTTAATAATGGGCTGTGGACAGGGAATCCGGAGGGCAGGTCAACCTTAATTGCTCTGAAGGGTCAGAGCTAATTACTGGTATTGTAGTTGAAGGAGCCCTAAATTCACTGTTAGTCCTAAATTCACTGATTGGCTTTTATTGGAGTTTCCTGCCCAGGGCATATGGGTGTATCCTATAATTCATATCTTAATAAAAGGGACGGTGAAGCCAGAGTGGTAGACCTCCCACTAGAGTTGGACCTGGCCCCCATTTCCCAAATTAAATATTTTCTAGTCTCTTTTCATTTGTGTGCGGCCTTCTCCAGACCCGAACCCTGAACCCAAACCCTGAATCATGTGGGACGTAAAAGGGGTTCCCACACCACCCCTCCGAGCACCTTTCTAGTTAGTAGTAAGCAGGGTGCTGCCTGACTCATGAATTGAGTAATAAAGCCAATTAGATTTTCAAATTTATTCTGTTAAGTTTCCTTTATTTTTTTACACTGTAACAACCATCTCTTGCTTTGAACATTCTGTTGTAAGGGCATTGCAACATAGCAAAGGTGGAGATTTATTGAAAAACAAGTACAGACCCCCACATGGGTGGGGAGAGGGAAAGATTCCCACAGAATGGATTCCCACGCAGGGAGGGGGAAAGGGTCCCCGTCATTTATATCTTAATGCTCTCGGGCATTAGTTCAGCAATTTTTAAAGATGCAAACCTCTAGGAATGGCTGCATTTTTATTACTGTCATTTGCCTACAGTCCCTTTCTCTAGCTTCAGCTTTGTGTATAACAGCTTTTCTGGAATGGGATGAAATTCCCAGGGAAGGGCAGCACCCCTCCACCCTCTGTCTCACGCCGAACAGGGCTTCAGCCCCTGGTACCCACATTCCTTCCCTCTGCGACCCCTCCCTGTTTACGGGATGAGCTCTATTGTTTAAGTTGAAGCACAAGGCGCTTGCTCCTGGCATGCTGGAAATCCTGCATGTGCTTTAGTCCTGCATATATTACAAATATTCTGTTTTAAAAACAGAAGTCTGGGCGAGTTTTGACAAAGAACTGTAAGCCAGGCATTGCTTCTTACAATAGCTCACCTGCTGGCTGTTTCCCTGTGTGTGTGGAGAAGGCCACCAAGACCCAGGGTAACCAACAGGCCCATCACCGCGGGGAGCGGCCGCCAGTGGGTTCCGGAGCCCACGCGGGGGATTGCTTGGCACCTTTTACCGACTCCTTGTTTTCTGGGGTTTGAGCTTGTTTCCCTCTAGTTGGGACTTGTCCAAGAATGCCCGTGGGATGGACAAACCTTTAAGCTGACTGATTATTTCGTGTGCAGGGCAGACACTCCTGTTCAGAATTCACTTTCCACAGGTCAGAAAACCGCCCCCGCGCTCGCCTGGGGCCCTAGCAGCGGGGGCGGGGACTCGGGCGGTTTCCCGCCTCTTCCGGTCTGTCTGCTCCAATGAGGGCCGCCCCCTCGCTACTTAAGGGGCTGCCGCCGCCCGCCTGGGGACAGACCTCTCTGACTTCACTCCGTCGCCATGTCTGGACGCGGCAAAGGAGGGAAGGGCCTGGGCAAGGGCGGCGCCAAGCGCCACCGCAAGGTGCTGCGCGACAACATCCAGGGCATCACCAAGCCCGCCATCCGCCGCCTGGCGCGGCGCGGCGGCGTCAAGCGCATCTCCGGGCTCATCTACGAGGAGACGCGCGGGGTGCTCAAGGTGTTCCTGGAGAACGTGATCCGCGACGCCGTCACCTACACGGAGCACGCCAAGCGCAAGACGGTCACGGCCATGGACGTGGTGTACGCGCTCAAGCGCCAGGGCCGCACCCTCTACGGCTTCGGCGGCTGAGCCCGCTCCCCGCCCGCCGGCTCCTGCGCAAAACCAAAGGCCCTTTTCAGGGCCGCCCACGCCCTCCCGGAGGAGCTGAGCGCGGATCTTCGTGTTTTGTTTCGGGGGGACGGGCGGGAGGTGTACACGGGAGCCTCTCCCCGTCCCTAAGGGGCCAGTTCCCTGGAGCTGCCCTTTGCCCGAGCCCGGTGTTCCAGGGCCTGTTTGCGCGGAAGCGGCGCCCGGAAGCCCTCCGGCTGCTCGGTGGGGGGAGTCCAGGGAGGCGCAAATTGCCACCATGGGAGTCTGCATCCTGCCCACAGGAGCTCTGATCCATTAAAACCTCCCGATAAAATTGTGTGTTGGACCTGGGCCGTCAGCCATGTCTGCGCACTTTGCCCTCCCCCTCCTCCCCCGCTTCCTTCCGCCATCGCGCCGTCACCCCCTCCAGCCCCGGCCTCCGGGGTCGGTGGGTCTAAACGCGCCATTCTCAGTCCCGGGCCCTTCCGGAGCCCGAGCCCAGCAGCTGGAGAGTCACGCTCAGGAGTCGGCGCGCCGACTCGGCGCCTAACAGCCTGGAGGCCTCCGTGCATCGAGGAGGAGGGCTCCCCCGCGCGGGTGCGGGTTCTGCTCCTCCCTCTCCCTTCTCCCTCTCCCGCCTCCTCTCCCTCCCGCCTCCGCTCAGCCTCCCGCCTCCCAGCTCCTCTCCCTCCTCCCCTCCCTGTTCCCCGTCCTCTCTCCTCCCCCCCCCCCCCCCGGTTCCCTGCCGAGACGCGGGCTGAGCGCTGGGCCTGGAGTCCAAGTCCCCCGCCTCCACCCGCCCTGCCTCCCCTGGGCCGCCCTCTCCCACTCCCTCTCGTGCTCGTGTTGCTGTGGACGCGGTTCCTCGTGTTTGATGCCGGCGGGGCCTTCACCTGCAGCAGGAGCTTCAGGCCCCAAGGCGGCCCCTCCGCGCCTGTGCGCAGGGACCGGGGACAGGGCGGCGCCCGCGGCCCGTGGGGGAGCGGGCCTTGGGGCGGGGCCGGGGCGCAGGCGGGAGAGAAAGTACACGGCGGGGGGGGGGGGGGGCCCTGCACGTCCGGAGCCCTCCGTGAGGGGGACCGCCGCGGGGCCCGCTCTTTCCCCGCAGGCAGGGCCCCGCACCCCCGGTGAAAGGGGCAGTTGGGCCGGGGTGGGGCTCGGGGCGGAGGGGGTGGGGTTGGGGGGGCGGGTCACATAAACATTTCTGGGAACCAGCAGCCGGGAGGGCGCTGCCGCCGCCCGCGGGAGGCCAGACGATCAGAGTAACAATCGCCGGGGCGGCGGGGGCTGAGTCCTGTCGTTTCTATGTAACAAGTGGGCCCGGCTGAGCTCTCAGCACCGCCCAGGACTCTAACCCGCGGATCTAACCTCTGACGCCGGGGCCTCGCCGTCCGTCCGTGAGCGCGGAGCGCCCTCCAGCGGCCGCAGGTTCTCCCCGACCCCCCTCCCCCCGCCCTCCGGCCCCCCGGCCTCCAGCTCCTTTTCCTGCGGCGACTCCTGCCCGCTTCCGTAGGCAGATTTCTTTCCTCGTGTGTTATTGTGGGCCATTCAAACACTACAATATGTTTATAAAGATTTTTAAAAGGTATGTGATCAGATTGGTACATCAGCCAACTAAATAAGGTGTATTTTTATTTAACGCTTGAGAAAATATTTTTTTATAGACAACTACTTTCGGTTTTAAATCCCAATAGCCTTTATTCCATTTAGTTTATTTGGCAAATTATACCAACAGGGACCCGCCAAGCGAAGCAGCCGTAGCAGGTGAGGACAGATAAACAACGATACCACAAGCAGGGGGATGAAAATGAGGCAGAACAAAGGCAGAGACGACTGTTTTTTATGTATTTTTTATTTTTTTTAACAAAGTCCTGCCCGCCATCTGGGAAAATTCTGTCTACATAAAACAGTATAAACTTGTTTTATCACAAAGAACTTGTATACTTATAAGCACAGCCCATGGACAGGGGGAGGTGAAGAGGAGTGGGGTGGGTAGGGGCTGGGAGGAGAAGGTAAAGGGGGGGGATGTGAGATATTTATAATATTATTAACAAAAAAAATTATTTTAACCAGTTAACTGCCATGCATCCAAAATGAAAACCATCCCCACACGCCACGATATTTTGAATTTAAGAAATCAATTTGCAATGAATATTATAAAAATATATCACTCATGATTTAGGTGTTCTTGAATATTTTCAGTTGAAAATTTTCACAAAAATGATTGTAAAGTTGGTCTATAGACACTTATGGCGGGCAAATAATTGAAAGACAGTATATATTTAAGAGACAGTTTTTGTATTTTCATATAGTAATGGTGTCCCAGAATTCAAACTAGCGGGTTTGTACTGTATAGTTATTTGCTCTGCCATGAAGAACTATAGTGGAGGTAAGTTTGGTGGAATATTTCCTGAGAAAAGTCTCGAAGGCAGCTTTAATGTATTTAATAAAAATATAGTAAAAAGCAAAATAAAAACATAAAAGAATTTGGATAGCGGGCCTGTCCCAGAAAGGGAGTTACTAACAGAGTTAATGACCCCTGGGTGACCTTTGTGTAGGTCAGGGCTGCTCTTTCCTTCCCGGGAGTCCCCCCTCCCACCCCTCAGCTCAGGATGGCAGGCAATCCTCAGCGGCCTTTGGGGCTTACATTCTTTGGAGCTTTTGTATGTACAAATAGAAGCCGTTTTTCTCCTGTTTGTCTTCTGTGGATCTGATGAGACCAGCCAAGACCCCGAAGGGAAGACGGAGGAGCCGGGAGAGACCATGACCGCTGGCATGTCCCTATGGGTAGGGCAGGCTCACCAACCAACGAGTGTCCAGCCACGTTATTGCCAGTGGAAGGTGCCTCTATGGTCAACCCTCCGAACACATAACTGGCCCAGACGGGCGCTGTCCCCTCACAGCGCCCATCTGCCTTCACGGAGGGTTTAAGGGGCACAAATGGAAATCCGCAGGGAGGGAGGGATTTAGGTCGCGGGTGGGAGGGGGCGCAGGGGTGGCCTAAAGGCTCCTTCTGCCTAGAAAAACGAAGGGCGCGCTCAGAGTTACAGGAGGGGAGGCTGTAGATTGGACACATGAAGGAGCGTTTAATGGTCAACAGTTTGGAAACAAAGCAGCCAGGTGTGCAATGACCCACGTCCCGCTAGAGTTCACGTCCTTGGGGTTGCACTAAGGCAGAAATTAGCTGTCCTTTTGCAGCTGATTTTTGCATTTACCAGCCTAGCTCTACCCACAGCTTTCGTGGTGTTTCCTGCAGGGCGGTGCGTTAGGTCCGGGCGCCCCCTACCGGACGCCAGGTGCCAGGCCAGGGAACCTGCAGGGAAAGTGAAAGTTTGTGCTCCGGAGAAACTATGGGGCAAATTAGTGACATTGAACCAGACATCTGCCGCCATTCAGGGCAGTCTGCGCAAGGGGGTAGCATTCCAGGGAGTTTCCTAGCGCGAGGGCCCGACCTGCTTTGTTCTTTGGGGTCATTAGAGAGGCGCCATTTTAAGCCAGGCTCACCCCAAATGGCTCCCAAACCGAAACCGCCTGACTTTGCGAAGGACACTGGATTAAAACTTGTGGCCGAGCCGACCGATGGACCAGGGGGTCCTAGTCAGGGCACCTCCCGGCTTGTTGGGGGGCATCCCCGCCAGTGTGGGGAGAACAGGGGGCAGATCAATAGTTCTTATCATTGGCACTTTTATTTCCCCTTCCTCTCTGAATTTAATAAACGTATTTCAACTCCAGCACAACACCTTGAGGCTAGATGGATGCTCACAGACCTTCGTGTAAATAGGTGGGCGGCCCTGAAAAGGGCCTTTGGTTTTGCGCAGGAGCCAGCGGGCCGGAGGCTCAGCCGCCGAAGCCGTAGAGGGTGCGGCCCTGGCGCTTGAGCGCGTACACCACGTCCATGGCCGTGACCGTCTTGCGCTTGGCGTGCTCCGTGTAGGTGACGGCGTCGCGGATCACGTTCTCCAGGAACACCTTGAGCACCCCGCGCGTCTCCTCGTAGATGAGCCCGGAGATGCGCTTGACGCCGCCGCGCCGCGCCAGGCGGCGGATGGCGGGCTTGGTGATGCCCTGGATGTTGTCGCGCAGCACCTTGCGGTGGCGCTTGGCGCCGCCCTTGCCCAGACCCTTCCCGCCCTTGCCGCGCCCGGACATGGTGGAGAGAGAATACGGATCACAACCCTGAACCCCAGCGCCGGCTGCAGCCCCTTTTATAGCCCCGCAGCGGGCGCCTTGTTAAGCGGAGCGCGCAGGGGGCGGGGAAACGCGCGCCGCCCCGGCCTCGGTCATGCCGCCCCTCCGGGCGCAGAGTCGCCGGTTCCTGTGGCCTGCAGGCGGCGCTGTGCGCAGTCGGGGGGGATTGGCTGTGTACATGTGCCCTGGCCACTGTGAGCCTTTATAAGAAGGAGAAAAGTCCGCCCTTATCCACAAGAGGGAGGGATGCCAGATCTAAGTCAACTTTAAAGGCGATGGAGTTAGTGTGGATCTTAGTGACCGTGGCCGCACGTGGGACGTCGCGTCTGCAGGGAACAGCGATGTACCCCGCGTGCAGCCGTCCGAAGGGGGAGCTCCCGGAGGGGACCCACGTTCCTGGGATCTCCACTCTTCGCTCCCATTTGTGGAGCACTGTTTGCCCAGAGAAAAGGAATAATCTTTGCGGGGGAAGGTGGTAGAGAGGCGGTAAAAGGTGGAGGAAAAGAAGGCATTATTATTTTTTCTTAAGGGAGAAATCCAGGCTTGGAGCGTGCTTTTGGGGTTAGAACACATCTGTGATCCTGGCCTTGTCTGACCTCGTTCTGAGCACTGGTCCAAGAACCGCACTGCGCCGTGTTGAATAAAAGCTTGGAAAGTAACAGAATTAACAAAAAAGGACACTAATAAACACCGCGCAGTCCTGGCCAAGTAAAAAGGTAACTGACGTGATGCTCTGTGCACAGATGACAGGCCGCCACGTGCCACAGACCAATCAGCACAGTCACCTGGGGCACCGCCTTCGACCGGCCAGAGAAGGACCGCAGACACCCTTCTCTGCGGTGGGCCATTTCCTCCAACCGCAGATCCTCGCCTCCCTGAGAAATCTCTAAACAAGGCGCATGATCGATTGACAGGTGGATGCATTGATTGATTCTGCAAGGAGCGGGAAAAGTGAGCTCAGGAGGGGGTCAGCCTGAACCGGCTCCTCCTGCTCCAGGCCTCTTCCTGCTCCCGGCCTCCCCCTGCTCCTGGCCTCCCCGAGCTCCCGGCCTCCCCCTGCTCCTCACCATGCTCCGGGTGATGGGTGGAGCAGTTGTGGGATCGCAGCATTAGCTTCACCTGGGAGTTGTCAGACGTAGAGAATTTCAGGCCCATTTCCACTATACGGAACAGATACAGGCCTTTTTAACAAGATCTCCAAGTGGGTGGTACGTGCATTCAATCCCGAAGAGGTGCTGAAGGCCCTGCTGCCCTGCATCAGGCACTAGCCAATGTAGTTATCTAAATTTAAAGTTATTAAACTGCCCTGGCTGGGGATCAAACCCACACCCTTGGTTATTGGAATAATGGGACACTGCTCCTACCACTGAGATACCCAGCCAGGGCACATACAGGAAGCAACCAATGAATGAATAAATACGTGGAACAACAAATGGGTGTTTCCCTGTTCTCTCTCCCTTCCTCTCTCTCTCACAAAATAAATAAACATTTTTTTTAAAAATTAAACTTGCATAATACTAAAAATTAATTTCTTCAGTTACCTATGAATATATAGCTACAGGCTGATGCTCTATCCACTGAGCCACACCGGTTTTGGCCCAATACTTTTCTTGGTTATTTATTTCAACATGAGGTGGGATGCCAGGACCTGACTAATAGGTGGGTAATATAAAGAGGTGCATAATTATCCAACATTTGCTGAATTCTATTTGTGGTACTGCAAAGAGAGAGATGAGTGGGATTCGGTCATTCTTGTGATGGAATGTTTGTTCAGCCCCTCAGGTGGGCGGGTTCTGCTCACTGATTCAGGCTGTGACAGTCTGGTTCATACTTTGTTAGTAAAAAGGCCCTGGGTGAAATATGGAAAATTCATGCAGTGATTTATTAATCTTCACACTCCACCCCCCCCCTCCCGGCCCCCAGCATTGAATTTCAGGAAGGGAGTCGGAGAGACACAGAGAAACATCCACGTGAGAGACCCACCTATTGGTTGCCTCTCATCCTGGCTCAGCCAGGCCAGGGATTGAGCCAGCAATCCAGGTACGTGCCCTTTGACGGGAATGGAACCCAAGGCCCTTCAGTCCGCAGGCAGACTCTCTATCCACCCAGCTTTTTTGTTTTTAATATATTTTTATTGATTTTAGAGAGAAAGGGGGAGAGAGAGATAGAAATAGAAGCCTCAATGATGAGAGAGAATCACCAATTGGTCGCCTCCTACACGCGCCCCACACGCCCCCCACTGGGGATCGAGCCCACAACCCAGGCATGTGCCCCCGACCGGAATCGAACCTGGGACTCTTCAGTCCCCAGGCCGATGCTCTATCCACTGAGCCAAACCAGCCGGGGTGCTCCTGCAGAGATTTCAATGAGAAACGCTTCTTTCTAATCTGGTTCCTGACTTGCAATGCTAACAAAGGTCAAATGCATTTTGTGTTTTGAATATTATCTCGGAATATAGGAAGTGTGTTCAAAGCCCTATGCTAAATACTGGGGGACCAATCTGGTGGACAAGGTGACTGTCATGAAGGCCTTTGCAATTTTAAGGAGATTGAATGGAAAACACGTGATGTCGCAGGGCTCTCCTGCTCACAGCTGGTAAACTGAGGTGGACCTACCTGCCCACTTGTTGCTTTGAGATGCCTTTGTGGGTAGGTTGGTACAGTGGGTGACCTCCGATGCCCAGTCTAGGTCTGAAAAATCAGTCTTTTAAGAGAAGATGGATGACTAGTTACTGGTAGAACTGGTTATTTACAACTCACACATGCACAGAGCAGACTTGCCCTCGTCCCTCCTAAAAATGGTTAAATCAAAAATTATGGGATCAAACCCAGGTTACACACTGGTCGCTCCAATACTTAAAAAATATCAAACCAACATTTTCTTCTAATACAGGTTGTTGTCCATCGTGTACTTTGAATTCTCTCCCCCAGCTGCCAATTCCCAGGGCTCAGGGCGAACCACTCGCAGGCGAGCTGTGCTATTGCCCTCGTGAAAAATACGATTTTCTGGCTTCATTTCAGTTCAGATCCGTTCATGCACACAGAGTTGCAAAGACAAGAATGTGAAGAACTATGTTCTGCAAGAAACATTTGCAAGGGAAACGGAGAGAAGCCGTATTTTTAAGGAAAATCGGAAAGTTGTCTCCGTTTGACAGAAGTTTTCCAGAGAGTTGGGGGAATCGGGAAAGTTTCAGGGGGCCGGCGGCGGAGCTAGGCGCGCCAGAGAAGGCAGGAAGGAAGCCTGAAGGCTCTCGGACCCGATTCCCCCAAATCCCTCATGATTTTGTGCACAGATTTCTTATATTTTTCTCCTTTTTTAAAGGGCAAGAAACACAGCAGCCGGGCAGAGCGGAGGAGCCGGCTGGGTAGCGCGGCGCACGGAGCCGCCAGCCAATCACCATCCAGCGCCTCGCTATATAAACCCCCGCCGCCCGCGCTGGGCCACGCTGCTCTGACAGTTCAAGTCTCCTGTTGTCCTTCCGGGCAGAAGTGAAACATGTCGGAGACCGCTCCTCTGGCTCCCGCCGCTCCCGTCCCCGCGGAGAAGACGCCCGCGAAGAAGAAGGCGCGCAAACCCGCCGGCGCCGCCAAGCGCAAGGCGTCTGGGCCGCCCGTGTCCGAGCTCATCACCAAGGCGGTGGCCGCCTCCAAGGAGCGCAGCGGCGTGTCGCTGGCCGCGCTCAAGAAGGCGCTGGCGGCCGCGGGCTACGACGTGGACAAGAACAACAGCCGCATCAAGCTGGGCCTCAAGAGCCTGGTGAGCAAGGGCACCCTGCTGCAGACCAAGGGCACCGGCGCCTCGGGCTCCTTCAAGCTCAACAAGAAGGCGGCCTCCGGCGAGGCCAAGCCCAAGGCCAAGAAGGCGGGCGCGGCCAAGGCCAAGAAGGCGGCCGGGGCGGCCAAGAAGACCAAGAAGCCCGCGGGCGCGGCCACCCCCAAGAAGGCCGCCAAGAAGACCCCGAAGAAGGCCAAGAAGCCGGCGGCGGCCGCGGGGGCCAAGAAGGCGGCCAAGAGCCCCAAGAAGGTGAAGGCCGCCAAGCCCAAGAAGGTCGCCAAGAGCCCCGCCAAGGCCAAAGCCGCCAAGCCCAAGGCGGCCAAGCCGCAAGCTGCCAAGGCCAAGGCTACGAAGGCAAAGAAGGTGGCGCCTAAGAAGAAGTGAAGCTACCACGGCGGGTCCTGCTTTGAAAACCTCAAAAGGCTCTTTTCAGAGCCACCCATTCATTTCACGAAAAAGAGCTGAGCTGGGCACGTAACTGGGTGCCTTCCTTTAGGCGAGTGACTCCGGTGCGCTGGGCAGGTTAGGCGGGGTCGTGTGGGGTGTGGGGAGCTGGGCGCTGTTGTGTTTGTAGGAACACATGAGCAGGCATTTTCGGCCAGGTTCCTGGGGTAGTGGGCTCCGCTTGTTCACCTGGCCTTGGGCGCTCGGTCTCCGTCTGCAGCTCCGCCTGGAGTGGATATCGGGCAGGACCCCGCCCTGCGCGGAGAAGCTGCCCGGTAGTTTGTGGCGCTGGTCGTTGCGGTCCGCCAACCGTAGGGGGCGCCCATGAGTCTCGCCGCCCTGCTTCCCGTGCCCAGACGCGTTAGATGGGGAAAGTGTAATTAATGTAACAAGTCGATCTGCGGAGAGGGCTAATCAAGTTTCTGTAAGTTTCCTAAACTTTGCTTTCCATTGACTTGCAGAAGTTACTGAACTTCGATTGAGTGCGCATAGATTGCGATGTTAAATCTTGTATACTCTGTGAGGCAGTTGAAAACCTTGGATTTTTTCCTCGAGGTCAGTGGAGTTCCTGGGGAAGAGTAGCCCGTAACTGAGCTGCCGCCCCGAGGCTGAAGGACAGTGAACGTGGAAGTCCGCCTCCTGCGGGGCTGTAAGTGGCCCTCAGCCCGGTTTCTTCCCGCAGACGGTGGCGAAGAAAGATCTAGGGAGCCATAGTCTCCTGAGCAGGCAATGAATTGGAGGGTAAACAAGACAGACGTGTTGGAAGGCAGGGAAGATGGCAGAGAGCTCCTGGTCTAGGGGTGGCCGGGGCACACAATATGGGCTCTTGGAAGAATAGGTTCACTTGTCTCACCATTTCCACTTCATCTCTGGGACCGAGCCTTTATTATCAATTTTATTTCAGGGAAGTTCACTTACTTTTATTGGCAAGTCTGACAAAATCCTGAATGCTAAAGAACAGTTATGGTTGCAAACCTGGATGGGGATTATAATTTTTTACTATCTTATTAAAAAACAATGTAGCAGGTGGCTTCTAACCAGTTCAACATTTCCCCAGTGACAGCTGCATCTTATAATTTCTTCCTACTTTCTACTTGAGACAATACCTGGGTAAATGGGAGAATGTAGTTACTCAAAAGAATCTTTTTGAAAAGGAGAGCCTACTTGGAGTAGGGAATATGGGAAAACAGCTGTGAGGTCTTTAATAGCCAGAACGAGAGGTAGGCTTTTGAAGAGGGATGAGGAATACGAACTATTGGGTAGGAGGTGGGGGGTTAGTCATTCACTGAGTGGTCAAAGTGTACACTTAACTCTGTAATCCCTTACCGTTTGCAAAGCACATCCAGGACTGCCTCACTAGGGAGCATTGGCCTTGGGTATGATTGAAATACTTGTCTTGCAGTTAAGAAAACTGGTTTAGAAACACGAACTGAGCAGAATCACCTTACTGGTGATTATGTATGATCCTGGGAGGGGTTGGAACTGCAATTAGAGCAGGTATTAAATCTGGGTTCAGTGTCTTGGGCTTCTAGCACCAGTGATGCCATTTTGGGTCTTTGGTGTTTGTCCCTTATTGTCTACACTTCGGACATGCCAAGCATGCTGTCCTAAACACCATGGATTAACAGCCAAAAACCCATCAGGAAATTTGAGATTACAAACATCGGATTATAAAATGCAGTGTGCTTTTGAGGTAAAGGCAATACTTATAAATGAATCTACTGACATTGAACAAGCCTAAGCCAAACGGACATCCCACCGTGAGCACGACCAGAACAAAGCCTGCCCTCCCAGCCATTTATCCGAAAAGCAAACAACGATTTGTTACTTTCAAATAAGGCCGATTGACCCAATCTTCCTTAATGGTGACATCCTAACACAACAGCCAGGCGACAGATTGACAAAATACTTATCTAGACTGCAGAGCAGGCCTCATTCACTCCTCACCCGTTAAATGTGCTATGTGTATGTGTATGCTAGCTGACAGCCGTCTGAAATGTTAGCCACGTGCATGCTGCCTCACTGGCTGGGGTGCAGCGAGACGGAGCTAATCATCTTCACCGGGCACAATTCTGTACACTTTGAGTGTGCACTGATTTGTTGCAACAAACCCCCAAGTCCTAATTAGGACTTCATAAATCCAAGCACCATTAGGCACAATAGCAGGGTCCCTAGCCCTATTACTGACTGCAGAGCTGCGCCCTCTGCTGGGGCTGCAGCGGAAGTTGCCTTAGACAGCTGAAGGAGGGGGTGTGTAGGGAAACGCGCCACAGCACCACTCCCACGCAGCTGGCTCAGCCATTACCCGCCCTCCCACACAGTGCTGTTTAGGGATGTCTCTTCTTCGCTTACAGATCTCCCATGGAAAGTGTGGTGGCTCTGAAAAGAGCCTTTGGGTTTCCGTGTTGGTGGATAGTAAGGACGGAACTCAGGCGCGCTCCCCGCGGATGCGGCGCGCGAGCTGGATGTCCTTGGGCATGATGGTGACGCGCTTGGCGTGGATGGCGCACAGGTTGGTGTCCTCGAACAGCCCCACCAGGTAGGCCTCGCACGCCTCCTGCAGCGCCATGACGGCCGAGCTCTGGAAGCGCAGGTCGGTCTTGAAGTCCTGCGCGATCTCGCGCACCAGGCGCTGGAACGGCAGCTTGCGGATCAGCAGCTCCGTGGACTTCTGGTAGCGCCGGATCTCGCGCAGCGCCACGGTGCCGGGCCGGTAGCGGTGCGGCTTCTTCACGCCGCCCGTGGCCGGCGCGCTCTTGCGGGCCGCCTTGGTGGCCAGCTGCTTGCGGGGCGCCTTCCCGCCCGTGGACTTGCGCGCCGTCTGCTTCGTGCGAGCCATGACTGAGGTGAGGAGTTTGAAGATGAGGGAGAGGCTGGACGCTGTATTTATACGGGAACAGAATCGCTCTGATTGGCTGGTGGGCAGGACCAGTTACTAGGCAGGAGTTAATATCCGGAAGTGACCCGGCCGTATTAGGGTGGGATTTCCGTTCCGTGCGAGTCTCTGATTGGTCAATTTGAAGGACCTCTTCCCCGCCCCTCAAATAAATTTATTTTTTATTTTTTATTTTTATTTTTTCATCAGTGATGCCCCTACGCCTATAAGTCTGACCCACAGATTTATTATTCTCGAGCTTTTCACCTGCTTGAGGAAAAAATGTGTTTGAAAGAGAAAGAACTTAATTTTTGTTGAAAGAAACAGCGACATTTTGTGCGGTTAACCCGTTTTTTCCCCGCTCCTGTTACCCGCCCCGCCTAGTTATTAAAAATCCATTGTCTGAGCCTCTCTTGGGATCGATTTCACTGTATTTTCCGTAAATTCGCAGTTCATTGTAGCAGGATGTACTGGGAAGACGTGCAGAATGTTGTGTATCATTCAGGGTTCATGCAAATTTCATATTTCCTGGGATCCCTGGCGCTCTACTTTCGAGTTGGTCTCCAAATGGTCATTTGACTCCGCCTTTAGGTTTGAATGTATTTACGTCAGCTGGGCTGTATAAACAGGAGCATTAAAAAAAATAAAAGGAAGGAAGTATTTGCAACGCGGAACCTTGGAAAAGGTGGCAGCAGTATTTTTTTGTGACTGGCTTATTTTCTTCCCGTTTCATCCACGTTGTAGCAGATGTCAGGTTTCAAGAAGGTGACTTATTTTTTTTTAATTATTGATTTTTTTTTTTTTTTTTTTACAGAGAGGAAGGGAGAGATATAGAGAGCTAGAAACGTCGATGAGAGAGAAACATTGACCAGCTGCCTCTTGCACAAACCCTACTGGGGACGTGCCCGCAACCCAGGTACATGCCCTTGACCGGAATTGAACCCGAGACCCTTCAGTCCGCAGACCTACGCCCTAGCATTGAGCCAAACCGGTTTTGTCAAGAGGGTGACTTTTGAGTCAATTCCTGAAGGAAGTGAGGGAGCTAGAGCAATGCCCTGAGGCAGGGAGGGAGTGGTGTTAGCTAAAAGGCCATTGCGGCTGGAAGATGGGAATGGGGTGGGGTGGGGGAGTAAAAAGCCTTAAGGCAAATTTTGTAGCATGTTATGGTTTGGGCTTTGCTAAGTGAAAGTTAATAAAATAGAAGTTATTTTGAATAAAAGATGGATGGCAGCGATCCAGGGTCTTCAGTGAACATTTACTCAAAATGTTTTTTTTCGGGAGAGACCTGGATGTCCTGCACAATTTTTGACAAAACCCATGAAGCTGTACTCAAGGCTGCACTCCGCTAGATGACGGGATTTCCTGCCTTAGATATCACATCTAAGGCGAAGGGTTCCACTTTTTGCAATCCTATTGTAGTGTTCGAATTACTCACTATAACAATAAAGCCCGTCAGAACCAGCAGCAGGCCGGCTTAAGGGCTGGGAGGCGAAGGGAGGGGGGCGGGCAGGAGCCGCAGGGCAGAAGCTGTGACCAGGCGGGAGCCCCTCCTTCCCTAATGCGGAGCGAGGCCTCGGGGCGGAGAGTTAGACACCGAGTTAGAGCCCTGACTCTCTGGCCCAGTAACAGCGAGTCTAACTCATTCCGCCTGCGGCTTAGGGCGGGCCCGGCAGGCGTGTGAGCGGGAAAGAACCAGGCCCAGGGCGGTTACTTCACGCACCGCCAGGCTGGGGGGGCAGATCCAGGCCTGGAGGAGGGGTGGGGGGATTTGGGCGAGTTCAGTGTGCGAATCCCGGGGCGGGTGAAATGGTATTAAACTCCCAACCTCCGGGTAGCAGCTTTATTTTAACAAATCAGGTTTCCCTTTTCCTTTTTTCCTCTCCCGCGGCCACGATCTGCTTCATCCCTGCCTGTACTCGTTCCCTCCGGACGGGACGAAAAGGCTAAGGCCCAAAGACAGAGAAAACGTGTCCGTAGAAACAAGGGCACCAGAGCGCGCTCAGCTCCTCCGAGAGGGCGTGGGCGGCCCTGAAAAGGGCCTTTGGTTTTGCGCAGGAGCCGGCGGGCAGGAGGCTCAGCCGCCGAAGCCGTAGAGGGTGCGGCCCTGGCGCTTGAGCGCGTACACCACGTCCATGGCCGTGACCGTCTTGCGCTTGGCGTGCTCCGTGTAGGTGACGGCGTCGCGGATCACGTTCTCCAGGAACACCTTGAGCACCCCGCGCGTCTCCTCGTAGATGAGCCCGGAGATGCGCTTGACGCCGCCGCGCCGCGCCAGGCGGCGGATGGCGGGCTTGGTGATGCCCTGGATGTTGTCGCGCAGCACCTTGCGGTGGCGCTTGGCGCCGCCCTTGCCCAGGCCCTTCCCGCCTTTGCCGCGTCCAGACATGGTTGCTGCCGAGAAGCAGCAAACCACCCGCCGAAACCGTATTTATAACCCGCCGATGGGGGTGGGCGGGGCCGGCGCGTCTGGCTCCGCCCGCGCGCGTCCTGCGTCCTGGGGCGGGGCCGGAGGAGACAAAGGCGGCTCTGTGAGTCCTGCTCCTTCCCTGGTTCCTTCCAGATCCCCTATTGAAGGAGGTTTTGAAAATTGCTGTTGTGTAACCACGTGTTGAAGGGCTTGCATCTGCGTCAGACTAACGTGTCTTTCTGGTTTCATTATTGGGAGGCTTACTCTCCGCGGACAAGGCCGAGACCAGGATGCACATGTCTCTTACTTTATTTTTATTTTAAAATTTATTTTAAAAATATATATTTTTATTGATTTTTTACAGAAAGGAAAGGAGGGAGATAGAGAGTTAGAAACATCGGTCAGCTGCCTTTTGTACACCCCCCCACTGGGGATGTGCCCGCAACTAATGTCCATGCCCTTGACCGGAATCGAACCTGGGACCTTTCAGTCCGCAGGCCGATGCTCTATCCACTGAGCCAGACCGGTTTCAGCTTGTCTCCCACTGTAAACGCCCACCGAATGTGAAAAGTCCCGGCTCCTCTCTGTCCGGAGAGGCATCTTTGTTCACATTTCATGAGGGTGACATGATGATGTGGGTACACAGTGTCAGGGGTTCAGGGAAGATCTGAAATGACCTGTGTGCTTGTCCTTGGGGGCCTGGACCCCACTGCTTGGTCCTCACCCGTCCCTACACCCCACCTTCTGGGGAACAGGACCCGTGTTCACTCATCTTGACTTTGGCTTCCTTTCTAGAAACGAGTGGAAATGTTGCTGTTTGGCATCGGAAAGGTAACTTTTTGGCTTAAGTATTGCGCAGTCTGTGAGGAGGAATAAAGGGATTCTCTGAAAAGTAACCTTGGGCAATCTTAAACATCAATTTCTAACCAGGCAGGTCTTAGCGGTAGGACATACCCCAGCCACACACGTTTCTTAGAAAAGGTTATCTTTGCCTTAAGCCAGTCCTGGGCATTATTATTATTCTTTTGTACCTAGGTCACCACATTTTGAAATGCCAAAAAGACCCCTTTTCTTTCCCAGGACCCTGGAGGTTGAACCACCTACCCTCCAGGGAGCACATGATATTTTTAATATTTCAGATGCACGCCTTGTTTTCTCCGATCTTTTTAAAAAATATATTTCTATTGATTTCAGAGAGGAAAGGGGGAGGGAGAGATAGGAATATCGGTGAGAGAGAACCATCAATCTGATCTTTACATAATCTTCCATCTCCTTAATTGTAAAGCACAGACTGCAGCCCTGTTCTGGAGAGCTTTGGAGGCCTTGCCTCCCAGCTTGTGTCCTAGTGGACAGGTCTCAAGGTAGATTAAAGTATTATTAAGAAACTCATTTTAGCAAACTAAGGGAGGCTTGTCAAATGAAACATTAGTCATCAAGGTGTTGGGGAGGATTAAAACTTTTTTTTCTATCCATCTGGGTTCTCTGGCTGGTCCAACACTGTAAGACAGACAGACAGAAGGAAAACAAATTTTAGCCCCAGCCGGCTTTGCTCAGTGGATAGAGTGCTCCCACGGACTGAAGGTTCTGGGTTGGATATCTACCAAGGACAGGTACTTAGGTTGCAGGTTGGATCCCAGGCCCGGTTGGGGTGCTGGCAGGAGGCAACCAATTGATGTCTCTCTCTCTCTCTCTCACATCGATGTTTCTCTCTGTGTGTCTCTTCTCCTCCCTTCTACTCTATAAAAATCAATGGAAAACATCCTCAGGTGAGGATAAACAAAACAAAAAAAAATCAATAAAAATAAAATCAATATATTTTTTAAAAAGACAACTCCACTCCTCCCTCCCCAACCATTAAATTTTTTTTTTTTTTTTTTTTTTTGCACAACAGGAGCCCTATAATAAGATAGGCCAAAGGCAGTCAGGGAACTGAGACTTGTCTGCCACCCTTAGCACAGGAGTGGAAAGGGGCCCAGGGCTTCAGGGCTGGGGAAGGCACATCACCAGGTGAGGAGCAGGTGTGGGTTCTCAGATGTATCCTGCCCTAAGGGGTCACTCAGACGGAAGCTATCTGCCCAGTAGATTGCTTTCCAGGACAGGCCCCGTTTATATTCTGTCTGGTAGTTAAGGAAGCGGCAAATGGTTTTAGTGCTTCTGGTGGGATTGGATTGACCGTAGCTCACAATGATCTGTGTGGCCCAGTGGCTCATTTTTTTTTGGGGGGGGGGGGATGTGGTGGGAGGCATGTTCTGCAAGTGAAGATGGAAACTAGAGAGATGCTGACCTTAGAAATCTTCAAGGGCAGGATATCAGGAGGTGGAGGCTCCTGAACCTTTTTGTCCAAATGGGTGTGTTTTTGGAGAGTAAGTATCCAAACCTGATCATTAAAGCAATTTTTGTCTAAGGTAGGGGTGTCGAACTCAATCAGAGAAGGGGCCAAAATCTAAAATCCAGGCTAAATCGCGGGCCGAATGGTTTACTGAACAGTCATAAACTGTCATTGTGATGGAAACGCAGAGGAGTGCAGTGATGACAGCGCGGCGAGGGCCACATTGCAAGGCCTGGCGGGACAGATTTGGCCCGCGGGCCTTGTGTTTGACACATGTGGTCTAAGGCAGTGGTCGACAAACTGCGGCTCTTGAGCCACATGTGACTCTTTGGCCCCTTGAGTGTGGCTCTTCCACAAACTACCACGGCCTGGACGAGTCTATTTAGAAGAAGTGGCATTAGAAAAAGAAGTTTAAGTTTAAAAAATTTGGCTCTCAAAGGAAATTTCAATAGTTGTATTGTTGATGTTTGGCTCTGTTGACTAATGACTTTGCTGACTACTGGACTAAGAGAACTTTAGCTTCTGTACAAAAGACTGCATTCCAGTAGTGCCAAAAAGAAGAGAAGCAACCATTCAGTGGAGGTACAAGAGCATGTCCATGAAAAAATTCATTGTTTCTGGCATTTAGGTCATTGCAAAAGACCAAAGCAAACCAAGTACGCTTCATAGAAGAGGAGGGACACTGTTTAATATACTGGCAAATTCAGGAAACAGCCTTCCAAATCTGAGTGAGGACACATGCATGGGGCTGTCCTTTATATCTCCCTGTGGTCTTTGTCCGGCAAACATGGATTATGCTTCCTTTTTTTTTCTTCTTTTTTTTCCTAGGGCCTTGCAAGAAGGCCCCCAGGTGTTTGGGGGTCTCCAGGCCTGGTGTCAGAGTTAATAGCCCTCCCTCTGGGCAGTGCACTGTCCACAGACCCATGGCCTCTGTAACTGGTTCTGCAAGACCAATACCTGGGAAGCAGGTGGTGACTTAATTATAGGTTACCAGGAATGGACACTGAGCGTGCTGGCATGGATTTAGATCACTACCCCCCAAATATCGGGGTTCCATTGGAATTAGCCCTTTTTAGCTTTCTCAAGGTAAAGACCAAATGTACAGAGATGAGCAAATCAGATTTATTAACATGTGTATTGCATATATACCTGAGAGAGACCCAGGAAAGAATAATTTATAGATGTGGCTTAGAGCTCCCTTTTATAAAGCATCCTCAACAAAATACAGTCAATTTTTATTTATTTGTTTTTCAGAAAGAACAGGAGAAAGGATGCCGCTTCAGGCTTCTAAGAATGGTGTTAACGGGGGGGAAAAAAGATTGAAACCTGTAAAGGATTTTTGTGAGTTATTTGAGCCAAATTGACTTACACAGGGAAGCAGAACATCAACAGATTGAGATAATGCTCTGCAGAATGGAGGGTTACATCTATATTTATACATTGCAATCAAAGGAAAGGGATGTAGGTGAGTTACATGAAATTCATTGGTGATAGATTAGGGAGGTGGGACAGAGCAATGCCGGGAAACCTCTGGGATAGGGTAAAAGGTGAAATGATGGACAGGTGTTTCTTTTACAGAGATGGATACAGGATACTCTAACGTAATTAACAGTTGACAATTACTTTGAAACAATAACAATGAGGGAATGTCTGGAGGCCATTAGTTGTGCCCTGAGGGGCCCGGGGTAAGAAGGAAGTTACAAGTTACTATCTTAGAGGCAAAACGGCAAATGGGCTCAGTAAAGAAGATCTAAGTTGATCTTTGTCAGGTGAAATATCGGTCTAGGACATGACTACCCACTATAACCTGTTTGTAGTTAGGTATTTAATTTTCAAACCATCTTTTGTGGTTATTTTAGGTCTCTGAGTTTGCAGGACTGCCACGCAGGCCTCCCCTGAGCTTCTCAGGTTAGCATGTGGCTCTTTTCGTTTACTATGGCAAACGGGGGTGGGGGTGGGGGGTGGTGTAATTATATGAGGAGACCAGCAATCAACTCCTTTGCAGATTCCTTTTGTGCCTGTGGCTTATCACAGGTCTTCACAATTCATATCCCTGTCTTTAGGCAGGAAAAGAGGGTGGAAGAGAGGTCATTCTGCACATGATGCTTCAGCGCGAAATGATTTTTGTGTCTATTCTGGTTTCCTTCACCTGCCTGTATATGGTCTTCATAATCTCCCCTTGAACTAGGTTTCTCTCCCCGATTGTTCCCTGAACAATTCATCCTTGGTAAGAAACTTTTACTGTATTTCTGAGGCGTGGTATATGATTTTGAATTTTACATTTTGACTACTGTCATAAGCTCAGTGCATAAAGACCAGTTTCTCTCTGTGAAATAAGCCAGGTCTCCATGTGCTCTTGAGGCCGCCACTGTATAGCTGGTGAATGAGAGGCTCCCGACATGCTCATCTCGTCTGATTCCCCCCCAGTCAGACCCCAGGATTACAAGTCCGTTCCTCTCTCACTACACAAAAGTTTGCGGCTGCATGTTACTTCGCTGGGTTTGCAAGGAGCCTGTGTCAGTTCAGGGTCCCAATAGCCTTGGTCTGAGCCAAGTTACAGAGACCAGGAACCTGGCCTGGAGCAGTGGTGTGGTTTGTGGCCTTTTTGGCAGGAACAGGTCAGTCTGGTTCTTCACCCCTTCTCCCCCCTCACTCTCCCTCCTGCTGAGCTGGAATTGTTTGCTTCCTTGAGAAATGCGATTAGCTTCCCACTAAAGGCTGATATGAGATGAAAAATGTCTTTGAGTTTATACTCCACTCCAAAATGAGTCCGGGTAAGCCAGGTTCCATGCAGTGCTGACTTTACAGGGCTTTGCTCATTGTTCTCTGACCAAATGACCAAGGTACCCGAAATATCTTAAGGATGCCGCCATCAGTAACATTTAAAAAGCCCGCCCTGACGTGTGATTGGTCAGCTACCCCTCCTTTGTTCTAGCAGTTCTTTTACTCAGAGCTGAGGCTGAGGGCAGGTTTACTGGAATATGCAGCCCATCAGCCCATACACAATGTACACACAGCAGACATATTCACAAAACAATTCCAGCCTGTCATGTACAGTCCCCTGAAGTCTGGGAAAATAATTGCAATTGCCTTCGGTAGAAGGGGGCCCCAGGAATTGGTTTCATGAACCTTTTCTAACATAAGCGGCTGTAAACAAAATGTAATTTAGACGAGTCTCCTGGTCTGAGAGACTTCACCTGCTCAGGGCAAGTGGGAGGAGCCTCTCCATACTGGGAGATGCTAGAGATCAAAAGCTTTCACTTTTTTTCTTCCAGTTTATTTTTTTAAAAATATATTTTATTGATTTTTGTACATAGGAGATAGAGAGTTAGAAACATCGATGAGAGTCATAGATCAGCTGCCTCTTGCACATCCCCCACTGGGGATATGCCCGCAACCAAGGCACATGCCCTTGACCAGAATCGAACTCAGGGCCCTTCAGTCCCCAAGCCGACGCTCTATCCCTGAGCCAAACCGGTCCCAGCAAAACCTTTCACTTTTAACCCGGAGGCATGTTGCATTGATCCCCTTAATTACAATACGGAGCCCCGACAGGACTTTCACTTAGAGAACTCGGTTTTAATGGGCAGGAATTGCTACAAACGTGATTTCAATTATCTCCTAATGTCGGGAAAATGCAAGCCCTTTCCGTGATGCGGTGGGTGGCTCTGAAAAGAGCCTTTGGGTTAGTTATTTGCGTTGTCGCCTAAGGGGCGCAGGCTTCTACTTGCCCTTGGCCTTGTGGTGGCTCTCGGTCTTCTTGGGCAGCAGCACGGCCTGGATGTTGGGCAGCACGCCGCCCTGCGCGATGGTCACCTTGCCCAGCAGCTTGTTGAGCTCCTCGTCGTTGCGGATGGCCAGCTGCAGGTGGCGCGGGATGATGCGCGTCTTCTTGTTGTCGCGGGCCGCGTTGCCCGCCAGCTCCAGGATCTCGGCCGTCAGGTACTCCAGCACGGCCGCCAGGTACACGGGCGCGCCCGCCCCGACCCGCTCCGAGTAGTTGCCCTTGCGGAGCAGGCGGTGGACTCTGCCAACTGGAAACTGCAGGCCGGCCCGGGAGGACCGCGTCTTGGCCTTGGCGCGCGCCTTGCCGCCCTGCTTGCCGCGTCCGGACATGCTGACTGCTGGCAGAATCAGAACAGCCTCAGGAAGAGAAAAGGAGAAATGTACGGGAGAAGGCAACACAACGCGACTTATAGTACTGGGTGGGATTGTTAAACGCGAGCCGGGATTGGTTCAGAATTAGCTCAGACGCTGCCAACCAATGAGAAAAGTGATGTGATGCCAGCGAATTTACATACGCTCGTCACTGAGACATCATCAAATCAGATCTGGAGCCTCATGAGGACCTCATTTGCATAGATCCGCTATAAAAGGTGACGCTCTAGACCCAGTCGGACATTTTACATCTTCCCGCTTTCCTTTGCAGGTTTCTTCTTTTGCTTTAAAATGCCTGAACCAGCCAAGTCAGCGCCCGCCCCAAAGAAGGGCTCCAAGAAAGCGGTGACCAAGGCGCAGAAGAAGGACGGCAAGAAGCGCAAGCGCAGCCGCAAGGAGAGCTACTCGGTGTACGTGTACAAGGTGCTCAAGCAGGTGCACCCCGACACCGGCATCTCGTCCAAGGCCATGGGCATCATGAACTCGTTCGTCAACGACATCTTCGAGCGCATCGCGGGCGAGGCGTCGCGCCTGGCGCACTACAACAAGCGCTCCACCATCACGTCCCGCGAGATCCAGACGGCCGTGCGCCTGCTGCTGCCCGGCGAGCTGGCCAAGCACGCCGTGTCCGAGGGCACCAAGGCCGTCACCAAGTACACCAGCTCCAAGTGAGCGCCGCGGCTCCTGTCAGACCCAAAGGCTCTTTTCAGAGCCACCCACCTTGTCAGGATAAAGAGTTGTAAGGACTTGATTGGCCATTCTCTCTGCTAAGCCTAGTCCTAAACTGGTTTCGTTTGGATTGTATCTATAAAAGTGTATCGCAGTCTTATGCTTGAATGCGTTTGGTTGAGAATGAGAACAGTATCCAACTGGTTTAGTCTTAGACTTTATTTTTTCCATTGGGCACTTTGGCTACAAAGGTGCCCAAAGCCCTGACGTGCTGCGATAACTGCCATGAATTCCTGTGTCTACACATCCTTCTCTGGAAAGGGGAGAGGGTTTAGGTTTTTGTAGCCCTGAGTTGTCGGACAGCATCATTCTGGTTCACTGGGTGAGCTTGCTTACAGTAATGTAACTTCTCAAACGGCTGCAGAATGGTTAATGAGCAGGAAGGGTGAAAAGGGACTTCATTTGTTTCAGGTTAGGAGTTTCCTGAGATAGTTTACAACACTGCATCTGCCTACATGTTCTCTTTCCCCATTCTCCCACCCTGACCAGAAAGGGAACTGGATGTGGCTTTGTTTCCAATTCTAAACAATCTGGTGTAGTGTGCTGGAAGAATCCGCCACTCTGGCTTATCCACCTCCTAAACTTTGGGTTCTGTGATGTCAGATTACCTGACAAAAGGCTGTTCCTTTGCAGCCGCTTTCACTGTAATTTACAATGAGATGCTCCCAAGTGATCCCAATCAATGCTGAACTAGTCAGGGGGCAGCGTGAGGAGGATTTGGCCGGAGACCTGGCTTTGAAAATAACAGGGGTCATAAGCTCAGGGAGGGGAGAGTCCTCCCAGAGCTGGAAAGGGCACCCCACAAGGGACTGCAGCCCCCCAACACCCGTGTTCTCGTTCAAGGACACCCAGGGGCAAATGCTGATCTACAGAACTATAAAGTTTTAAGTGTATTTTATCAAGATTGTGATAATTCATTGGACCGACAATAGAAAATGAATGCCTTCCCATACATTAAGTATTGCTTAATGTGTTCAGCGATGTTTTTAAGATTATAAATATATCAGTGGGCCGGTGCATGAAATTTGTGCACATTAAAAGGGGATTCATTAGAGGAGATATAATAGAAATGTCAGAGGTGAAATAAAATTATTAAAATGTATATGAAAATCTACCTCATGTAGAGTATGGGGCTCACCACCGGACCCAGAGTCAAGTCCCCACCCACTCACATGCACCTCAAAATTGCATGAGACCCAGACCTTGCCGGCCCACTACCCCACTGGGCTAGATCCAGACTGGCCAGTCGCACTCTTCTCAAGCCCCACCAGGTGGAGGACACAGCCTCAGGTCCCCTTGCCTGCACCAGGGTGGAGGGCATACCTTGAGGTCCTTTGTTAAGTCCCACTGGGTGAAGGGCTGGGCCTGAGATCTCAAGCCCCGATGGGGTGGTGGTAGTGGTGGTGGTGGGAGGTGCAGTCTCAGGTCCCTGCTGATTGCTAGTTAAGGCTCCTTATGGGAACCGGGCCTCCACTGTGGGAGCAGCCATCTTACGTTATGCAAACCCCTGCCTCTGCTGTGGGTGCCACCATCATTGTGGTGGAGTGATGGTCAATTTACATATTCCCTCTTTATTATATAGGAGGACATAGAATATTTAAATTTACACGTGTAACTATTACAAAAACCAATATAGATGCCTGTAAACTTTATAAATATTCCAGGCTCACATGATTTTGAAATTGAACTTATTGCAACAGGAGCAACCAGCATTTTCTTTTATATAGGTGTCTTCAGTGTCTGAGGATAGCAGCAGAAAGTCTAATTGTATGGAGAAATACTTCATCCACCGCAGTCTTATTATTCTGATCATACTACTACTTCACAAGTTGGTCTTCATTATAGCAAAGTATTGGAGTAATGGTAAAATGTCTATCAATAACTTCATGAACTGTACATCTCCCTAAAATATTTATTATAATGATTTCATGTGTTTTAACATGAGTGTCAATGAAGTAGATTTTAGCAATATGTTCATTTTATAATGTTAGGGTTGCCAAAGGAGGAACACACAAGGCCAAAAGTGATAAGGAATTATAATTTACTAAAGGCTCAGTGCACAAAATTTGTGCAAGGGGGGTGGGGGGTGGGGTTGTCCTTCAGCCCAGCTTGAACCTTCTCCAATCTGGGACCTAAGCGGGAGGTTGGACATCCCTCTCACAATTCAGGATTGCTGGCTCCAAACTCCTTACCTGCTTCTGCCTGATTGCCCCTGACTACTTCTGCCTGACAGCTGGATCACCTCCGAACCACTCCCCTGCCAGCCTGATTGACACATAACTGCTCCATGGCCAGCCTGATTGCCCCTAACTGTCCTCCCCTGCAGGCCTGGTCACCCTTAACTGTCCTTCCCTGTTGGCCTGGTCCCCTCAAACAATCCTCCCCTGCAGGCCTGATCCCCCCTCAAATGTCTCCCCCTGCAGGCCTGGATCCCCTCCAACTGCCCTCCTTTCCTAGACTGGTCACATCTAACTGTCCACAACTGCCCTCTCCTGTAGGCCATATTGGGTCAGCCATCTTGTGGCTACATGGGTGCAGCCATCTTGTGTATTTGAGTGACGGGCAATTTGCATATTGCTCCTTTATTAGATAGGATGAGGTCATCTGGCTACCAGAGGGGCTGATCCCCCAAATGCTGCCAGCACCCAGGGATGGGGTAGGGGGATTGTCAGAGATTTTAATGGACTCTATGTGGGCTTTTTCTAGGCGGAGAATTCTCTGGGGGGTGGTGTAGAGGGGAATGTGTTGTTGTAAGTGAATGGGAATGTGGGTTGTGAATTGCTCTAAAGGTTAGTTCCCATGAGAAGGGGTATGATCAGACCTAACCAAAGTTTATCCACCTAGCATAATTCAAGTTCCAACCCGAGTCGTCCTCTTCTTTTTCTCCTTCTTTTAAATATATTTCTTTATTGATTTCAGAGAAGAAGAGGGGGAAGGAGAGAGAGAAACATCAGTGATGAGAATCATGGATCAGCTGCTTCCAGAGAGAGAGAGAGAGAGAGAGAGAGAGAGAGAGAGAGAGAGAGAAAGAGAGAGGCATCAATGATGAGAATCATGGATCGGCTGCTTCCAGAGAGAGAGAGAAAGAGAGAGGCATCAATAATGAGAATCATGGATCGGCTGTTTCCAGAGAGAGAGAGAGAGAGAGAGAGAGAGAGAGAGAGAGAGAGAGAGGCATCAATGATGAGAATCATGGATCGACTGTTTCCAGCATGTGCCCACTGGGGATCGAGCCCACAACTCAGGCATGTGCCCTTGGTCAGAATTGAACCCAGGACCCTTCAGTCCGCAGGCCTACACTTTATCCCCTAAGCCACACCAGCCAGGGCCCAACCTGTCTTCTGCTGCTATGGTCTTCCAGAGATGTCTATATAGAATAAAATCCACTGTTGTAGAGAGCTAAGGATTTCTTAGCACTTTCGTACCTTTCCATAGTTTCTACTTTCCCCAGCACCCTGCTACCTCTGTTTCCTTGGTGTGTACCAACCCATCTTTCATTTTTCCCAAGTCGGCCAACAGGGGAGCTTGGCTGGGCTGCGAGATGGGCCTGTAGCCTGCACTCCCCGCTGGTTCCTGGGCGAGTGGATGCCGACAAACCTGCTCACCCCAGATGGCCTCCTGGAGACCAAGGACCAGGTGTTTGAGGATGACCCACCTGCCTGGGGCTGAGGAGCACCCTAGGCATCTTTTTTAAGATATAAAATCGAACCAGCCCTTCACAGCCAGGGTGGCGAGCTGCCCCTGTGTCCGGAAAACAGAACAACTGGTTATTTTTACAAGATAATTGAGTCAACGTGACACAGGTTTGGGGAAACTGAAAAGCAAGAGTAGAACTGGTGTGCCAAGGACAACGGAAAGAATCCGGAGCCAGAGCAGGGCTCAGTGTGTGTGTGTGTGCGCACACACACACACACACACACACACACACGTTATTAAAGTCTGGAAATTCGAGGGGAGTAGATAAGGCTCCGCTCTTGGAAGGGGGTGCTTATAAAGCTGGTGCTGGAAGCCTAGAATCCAGGGGGAGCGAGAGGGCAAAGCCAGAAACTCGAACCGTTGTGGTGACACAGGGGAAGGTTGTGTCATAAGAATGGAGCCACGGTTGTCTAATGACCATTATCCTCACCAACTAAGGCTGCGTTCTCTGTCAGACCCGGGGACCCTGGAGGAGGAGACAAGGCTGGAAAAGGATAAGGCGCCTCCATGGGCCCAGGGCTCAGAAACACACACACACACACACACACACACGCACACACACATTTGAGAACAGACCAAGGACAGGACATCGTTGACTTGGTGGCGGGGCTGGGATCCTGGGAGGAGTTTTTGAGCTCCTCGTCGTTGGGGGTGGAAGTTTTTCTCAGGAACACTGATCATCCTCCGGGCCCAGGCGGAGCTGTGTGAAATATCACAGGCCAGACCCTTTGGTTCTTGGACTCTGAGCTCCTGAAGACCGGGGTGCAGACCCTCCCTCCCATTTCCCTGCTGCCCCTGCAGCCGGCAGTTGCGGAGCCATCTTCTCCGTCGTGTGCACACAACGAGCCAACTGGGGGCGGGAGAAGGGGGTCAGAGTAGATCCTTGTGGGTGACCTGCTGCTCTCCCATAGGGCCTGCAGGATAGGAAAAAACCCCCATATGGGATTCAACCCTGGCTCTGCTCAGGTGGCTAAAGTGGTGACTGGCAGCCCGGCCCCTTGGTCGTCTGGGCACAGCTGCCCCAGGAGGTAAGGCCTGAGCTGACACACAAGCAAACTGGAGCGCCAGCCCCGCCATCTGAGCCCAGCAGCGCCTGCACAGGAGCGCGGAGCGCACAGCTCCGGTCTGTTCACCCTACAGGGTCCCTGGAGGACAGACCCACTTTCCTGGGTGCACGGGACTTCCCGCACGTGTCTTCCTGGAACAGAGGCTCAGCAAATTCGGGAGTCCGTGTGCTTGGAACAGAAGGGCACTCAGTTCTTTTGCTGAGACTGCAAGTGGCTCTGAGAAG